ATATTGAGCTATAGCTACACACACACGCACACACACATATATATATATACATCTATAGATTTGTGTGTGGGTAATGTGCTTGATTGTGTTATATAAGTAAAGCGAAAGTGTTTCTGAAGAGCGCCAGCAGCAGATTGAAGCAAATGTTGCCCAACACGCAACAACACTCCTTCCTCCATTCGATGGCATCTAATGCACAGTTCAAATAACACTCGAGGCTCGTTGTCCTCCTTTCGCTTATCGGAATACACTTTGCATTGGCAGGCGCAGGTTAATAGCCGTTTATGTATCCATTATACAAGCATTATCTTATCTTAAAGCGCATTTCGTGTTCTCTGTTGTCGCTGTCTACTATTTATATTCGTGTTTAATTAAAAATTATGAAAACGTTTTGAGCAGCAATATGCTCTCTTAATAAGGGAGAGCGAGCAAATAAAGTTTTCGCACAAAAAGCTGATGCTCAAAGCAGCTCTAAAGAGTTTTCACATAGGTTTTTTCTTTTTGGGAGGGTTTTTCTTTGCAATTGGGTTAAGCTCAGCTCGGCTGGGCGTGTGCGCTCGCTCTAAGCGTTCATAATGGCAGAGCAACAGCAACAACAACAACAAAATAAATACCCTACTGGACGTGTCCATAAATTGAATTATATTGAAAATGTTTGCCATGGCCAAAAAACAACAGCTATATTTCCCGTTTATTATATTTCCTGTTGATATTTTTTGCTAGTGGAAACTTTGTGTGTGATTTTTATTAAATTTTAATATTTTTAATGCATTTAATAATTCTTTAATAATGTGCACAAAATTTAAACAACTGCTGAGTTTTGTTTAGTATTGTCGAGGATTGTAAATTAACGGCAACAGAGATAAGAAATCGAACAACAATTGCGGAAAGTTAGTGAGAAGGCAAAACCAAACGGCAATTAATTTAATGCGCCTCAATGGGCATTGCAGAGATAAAGAAGGAATCGGAGACTGGGACTGTGACTGCGACTGTAACTGGGGGACTGGGGCATCACATTCGCAAATAGAAATAGAGCGAAACGAATGGCCCACAGTTCATCAGCGAAAAATAGTTGAATAGTTTCGGACTACACAAACTGAAATCGAAACTGAGACCAATGGCAAATGGACAAACAAAAGTTTCGCCATCTGCCAAATGGACAGGAATTTCGAAATTAAAGCAAAACAATGCCCAAAGATTAACAACAGATACTAGCACACAGACTAACTATCACACACACACACACACACTCATACGCGACAATGGATAAAATTTGCTGGTTTACTAGCATCGCAGCAATAGTTTGCCCTTGTCTTTCATACCCTGTAAAGTGAAATGAGAAGAAGTATGCCTGGTACTTATCAGAACTAGTCGGAACTAGATTATTTATGTATATATAAATATGTACACAGATAATCCTCATTTGCTATTCAATGACTTGCAGGACATCTGCTAGTCCATCACAGCGGCTTTGTCGGTTTTTCTCTTTGTTTGTCTGTTTGTCTGTTTGTTGCCATGTGAAAGGCAGCGAAATAAAATGTGCTACAAAACGCGGTCCAAACGCTGATGGCAACGGCAGCGATGACCACGGCGGCGTCAGCAACGATTACAACGCCGGAGAAACTCACGCCAAACAACAAAAGCAATCTAAGTAAATGTATTAGTGTGTTAGTGTGTGTGTGTGTGTGTGTGTGTGTGTGTGTGTGTCTGCTCTGCGCTCAACGGTTTGTTGCATTAACGGAATTGAACGCCATGTCGGAAGCGAGGAAATGTTTGTGCTGTTTCAACGGAATTGTTATAAATATGTTCTCAGATTTTGGTCTCCCCTGCGTCTGTGTGTGACTCTGTGTGTGTGTGTGTGTGTGTGTGTGTGGGTGAACTGCCATGCTGCATCATGCTTACGTCCACGTTTAGCCAGTTTCTCACAATCAGCAGTATTCTAAGGGATATAAAATTGAATAGCAGCTAAGTTATGTGATGTGATTTAGATTCTATTATGATATAGAGCTCTGGGCCCAGTTATGAAAATAATTACCATATATTGGATTAAATGTAGAAATTATTGTGGAGAGCAACTCAATGCTGACGTTGCAAGAAATATATTAAATACATAAATACATTTTTATGGAACGATCGTGCCAACATTAGTTTCTCTGCTATGAAGACCTTTATATCTTCGTTCTATGCTTGAATCTCTGTTGAATATACCTCTTTCACGCTTTAATTGATAATCTACATATTACTTCTCTCTTTCTTCTTCCTCTCTCTCTCTCTTTTTCTCGCTTCCTCTATTTTTTTACTCCTCTCCTCCCTTTACCTGGCTTCTACCTTTCCTCTTCTCCATCTCAATATGTCTGTTTCTTTCACTCTCTTTCTGTCTTTCTTTCTCATCATTCTCTATACCTTTCTTAAGCCTTAACTGTAATTATATCAAAGTATATATCAATATTTTATTATTCTATTTCACACTTCATATATATTTCCATAAAATTCTTTCAATCAATTGCCAATCTATGTAATTATTGTAAAGATATCAAATAGGCCTAATGATCGACTAATTGGGTAAGAGAGAGACCTGACCAGCATGATTATTATGCAAGTTAATGGGCATGAAATGCCGGCTGATTGCGTATTCCAAGCGATTGCTTCACAAACAGTGCGAATAATGTGAGTGTGAGTGCGAGTGTGAGTAGTGTGGGTCTGAGTGTGAGTAGTGTAAGCTCGTATCAGATCGTGGATTACAGCTGCTGTCTTGATTGCCAACTTCTAGGCATCTGCTGGGTACTCATGAAAGTTGCTTGCAACACTTGCCACAGCTAAAGCAACTTAAACTGCCGCGTACTTACACACACACACACACACACAAAGACATATACACTCACACTCTTGGCTCTCTCTCAATCCACTCTCCTCTACTTGACTCTACTCACTATTCATTTGCAGGCTAGCCGAGGCATTAATATGTCTGCGTGTGTGTGTGTGTGTGTGTGTGGGATTTGTTTGTTTGCGTAATAAGTGGAGGGCGGTGCAAATGGTTTTGAGGCGTGTTGCGTAAATGAATAAGCGCAGTCGAGCGCAGAGACGGGGCTGAGTCTCGCCCGGCGACCGAGTCAGAGTTGGACACGTGGCAGGCGGGCGAGTGCACTTGCCGCATGCGAGTGAATGCCAGCCAGCAGAACATAATGTTGAGTGTGCTCGCCATGCATGCGTATGAGTAACGCTAACGGTTAGTGAAAGTGTGAGTGACTGTATATGTATGTGTGTATGTGTGTGCGAGCTGTTTGTAGCATCAAGTGCACGCTGTGTGCCATTCAAGTGTTTGATGTATTACAAAATATACGACACGCATACGGATACGGAGTCACAGCTGCAATTACAATGCCAAGTGCTTTAGAAAGAGAGACAGAGAGAGGAGAAAGAGAGAGAGAGAGAGTAACTAATATCTGTATCTCTATCTACCTCTGCCCTCTCTCTCTCTCTCTTACTCACTTCGCTTGCTTGTTGTTATTTAATAATACAAACATGTGCCCGACCCGCTGTTGTCTTTTGTTTTATTACATTAATAAACATAAAATTGGCATATTGTTTGCATTCGTGTGGCCCCCCACACACACGCACACACTCGGTCAGATACTCATGCACACTCCTGCAGGCATGTGTAGACCTAGTCAATGGCTGTTTCCGCTCTGCCCCTGCTGGCCCCTATTGAATTGCCGTAAGTGGCCATTTATTTACATATTTGCGTTGAGCGCGGCGTCGCGTTTGCCAAGTGCTACTCAAACTTGCAGCGTCGCTGTTGTTGCTGCTGTTGTTTTATTGTTATTGTTTTGCCATACTTGATTGTTGTTGCTGTTGTTATTATTATTGTTGTCACTGGCACTTTGCGTCATTTTGTGCAATTTATGAGTTTATTGACTGTTTTGTGCATGAGGCGAAATCTGACAATCAAACTGCGTTTGTTGTGGCTGCCACTAATTGTCGCCACTCGTTAGTTGTGCCACAGATTGTAGACAGACGACACACACACACACACGTACGTTTGCATTTGTACAGTTCTTTTTCCCTCTCTCTAGCTAATCCCGTTGCCATGGCTTTAATTGCAGCTCAATTTGCATAAACTTGGCGCTATACTCGCTAAACTCGCTATTTGGCGCTGCCACAGTTCCTCTGGCACTTTTAATGGACGACGTGCGCCTAATTAACGTAGAACAGCGATGGCAATGTCTCTGCCACGCCTGCCGACCCAGGCACGCCCCTCGCGCTGCCTCTGCTCATTCCATTCGCTGTTGTTGTTTGCATGTGTGCTAGTTTATGGCGTTCTCTGTGTCTGTTTGCCTTAAGATAACAATTGCCAACACAGAGACAGCTAGAGAGAGACAGCTAGAGAGAGAGAGACAGAGCTAGTGAAAATCGCAATTGTACAACGGTGCGTATGGTTAACTTTATTAGTGCAATTTATGTGGCAGCCGAAAACGCGACTAAGCGCATTACAGCTGCAACAGCAATGAGTGTGCGTGTGTGTGTGTGTGTACTTGCGTTGTCAACCTAATTCACTTAATTTATGGACTGTTTATGCGCTGTGCATCTGTTTATCCAAAATAATAGATATATATATTACAAAAACGAAATTGATGACGCCAGTATTTTATCAGTCAGCCAATCTAGTTGCTTATTCAGAGCACAAACAAGTTGTCCCATTCAACAAACGACCGTTATGATGAGCCAATGAGTAATTTGAATAACTCACTTGGCTGTGTGCATTCATTCATTTAGCCAGACAGACAAATGGAGTAGTAGAATGGAATAGAGCAAACGAAAATGCGAACGATGAGAACTTTGTGCAGAAATGTAGTATTAAAAAAACATTTGCTAGCGTCTACTTCTCCTCTTTTCTTTCGTTTGGTTTGCTTTTGGCTCTTTTTGCCAAAGTTCTTCTTAATCAAAATAACTTAATGATTATATTTGCTTTCACCCGCTCTCAGTTTCTAATTCAATGCACGGTTCGGTCTTCTCTTTACAGCACCGCGCAGCAGCTGCGTCGATTTGAGCTGCCTTTGGGGCGCCGGGCAACGTGCAGCGGATAATTGAATCATAAACGGACGGGCGGACAGACGCATCTCGCAGCGAATTGCGGGCAATGTTAACAAAGCCAAGCGAATAATTGTTGCAGAGAGCGCCAGGACGACGACCAAGACGCAGACGAGGGCCAAGACGAAGACGAAGGCGAGGAGTAAGCGCAGCGGGCGGCTAAAAGGCGGGAGGCTAAGAAATGACAGCCGCGCTGCTTTAATTAAAGTTGCGCGCGGATGAGGCGCGTGGAGCGGCCAGAGCAGCAAGAGCGAAAGAGAGAGAGAGAGAGAGAGAGACAGAGTGGGTAGACGAGCGAGCGAGAGAGCAGGGAAACGCAATGTGGCTGATGCCGCCGCGCACTGTGCACAACAGAACAAAGTGGACGAAATTGCTTTTGGAATTGAATGAGCGTTTACCGGACGCGGGCATATAGACAGCGCGAGCAGACATTCATTTTGATTACATTTTACCTTTTACACTGCGCTACACGAACTGACACACGCAACTGAGAAATTAGCCGTGAACAAGAAAACGGGAAAACACGATAAAAAGCAAAGCAAAGCCAAGCCAGCCAAGTGGAAGCCAAGGACCAACTACCAAATAGCAGGCAAAGTTTTTCGGCCAAAACTCTGCTGTTGAATTTAACGCATGAAATAATCGCCAACGGGGCGCACTTGCAACTATTGGGCGTGGCAACAGAGCCAACTGGGAAATTTGCATGCCTCAGGCCCTGGAAGAAGTGGAAGAAGTTGCCGCCATTGCCGCCCATCGACAGCTACACATGAGCACGCCGCTGTGACACGACGAGCAAAAGCAGGCGAGGAGGCATCGCTCACAATTTCGATTCGTCAACTACGGCAACGAGAGCAGCAGCATCGAAAGTGTCAGCGTTTGTCCATTAAGGCAACTGGGCAGGCTCACAACGAATTGGCTTCATCACCACCACCACCAACCCGCACGAATCCCGGACAACGTTGGCCCACATTAGCAGCACCAGCAGCTGCATAAGGAGAAGCAGCAGCAGCAGCAGCAACGGCTATAGCAATCTCCTCTTGTTACTGCAACTCCAAAGCTAACCCATTGGAGCCACCCACAAGCAGCCGAAATCATTCCCCACTCCTAATCCGCACTCGTGACCAGCAGCGATCCAATGAATCTGCTCTGCTGTTGCTGTTGCAGTAACATGGCACCAAACCAGCGCGTCACACGCAAATGGGAACTGTTTGCCGGACGCAATAAATTCTACTGCGATGGATTGCTAATGTCCGCACCGCACACGGGTGTCTTTTACTTGACGTGCATCCTGATTACTGGCACCAGTGCCCTCTTCTTTGCCTTCGAGTGAGTATCCGCTGCATGTATATTCAGACTGTCCGCAACGAGTTGCGTGTTGCAGTTACCAGTTGCCCATTGCCCATTGCCCATTGCCAGTTGCCGGTGTCCGTCCGTCTGTCCGCTTCTCATTTGCAACCGACTGTGGTTGCATTGTTTGCAAAATGAATACGTTGCTAATTAAGCATCGCCAGGATGCCCAGCCATGCCATAGAGCCAGCCCTGACCCTGGCTCTGTACGTGTGTGTGTGTGTGTGCTGATGCTCTCTGGTCTGCTTGGTTTCCAATTACGCCCACATTAATGGTCACTGACTGCTGTCTGTAGTGCGCCTTGGACGTATCCAATGGCATGTAATTATTGCTGTGCAACGTAGCGTATGCGTTATGCTTGGTCGGGCAAAGGATATTCGTCGTTGCTTGAGCAAAGGGATTAAAGTTTGCATGCTTTTCGGTTTTGATTCCACTGCGGTCTATCTCTACCTCGTCCACAGATTCTATGTGGAAATAAATGTAGCTTTGTTTTGATTCGCCATTCCAGCGACATCTCTAGGTTAAGGGTCAAATGAATCAAATGCTCGCAGATCTAATCCGATTAGAAGCGAAGTTTTGAGCAGCATGTTAATTGGAAAGCAAGAAGCGTGCCATAAGCGCCAAAATATAATTGGATTGCCGATGCAAGCACTTCATTAAATTTGAGTTGAGTGCACCTTAAAATGCTCTCAACTTGCTGAGGGGATCGAATCAAAGCTCTTAATCAGCTCTGCTTTGGTTTAATAATAACAATGGCTCTTGCCAATGCAGTGTTAGTTCGAGTTGTTAAATAAACATGGATTGTTAAATAAATAGATTGCTATGGGTGCTGCTGCATGCGCTCAGCTTCGCTCCACACATGCATGCATTTAGTTGTAGACGTGGCGTATACGCAATGCCTACACTGTGGTAGCCTGGCAAATAATGTATACGTCACGTAGCACAAATACACATCAAATCCCGTATTGGCAGGGCGTGAGTCGGGTGCAGAGAGTGGAGAGTGGAGAGTGGAGAGTGGAGAGAGGGGCGTAGGTAATGCAGCGTGCTGTTGGTTTTTATTCACATGAGGGAAAGGTACATAATGATGCGATTTCCAACAGCGCACGATTAGAAAAAATTATGCTCAACATTTTCTGCACGAATTCGTTTCAATAGCGCCAAGGAAATTGCATATGTGTAGGTGTAAATACTCACACACACACACACACACACACACATACACACACACACACACACGAGCGCGCTCAAATAGCGAACATAAAGAAATAGAATTGGAGTACTCGGGGTTTTTCTTTTATTGTTGCTGTTGCCGCCTTAGACTCACAATCCAAATTTATGCGCTGCCGAAAAGCCAAGAGCGGAAGCTGCAACGTCGCGACGTGGCATCCACCGCACATTTGAATACCCTTTGCCGGGAGTAGAGTACAAATATGCAGGAAATTTGTGAGAAAAAAGTCAGGAATGGGATCAAGAGACAAGTTGACGTGGCCTTAGCTGCATCTCTACGAATCGCAGACTAGTTTTATTTGGGAATCAATATATTCAACACCTAGTAGCATCTGTGTGAGAGTATTTCATCTTCCACATGCTGCAGTTGAACCTCCTTTACTTTTATTCGGGATTTCCATTGCATGCCTTATATTAGCGCACAGTCGAGCCGGCAACGGCGGTGGCAACCTATGGGCATTACAATATCTTCTATGCTTTTAAGTGCTGTTGGTTGTTGCAGCTGGAGTTGCAATTGCTGTGGCAGTGTCTGTTCCTATTACAGTTACCTGCCAGCCGGCCTGCCTGCCTTCCTGCCTGTCTCCTGCTTGCCTGCCAGGTGCGCCTGCATCTGCCCGTGGGCTATGGCCAAATTGTATTCCGTTCAACGCGCTCGCAATGCAAATCGCTAAAAGGTGGCACACACATACACACACACACACACACACACATACATAGAATGCAATGATGGCTTCCTTTTTTATGTGCCATTGTCAGCGATTTGCCAGCTGAATGCGAGGAAAAACATTTTCTGAATGCTTTCCCGCTGTATGCATGTGTGTGTGTGTGTGTGCGTTTACTTACGGAAGGTGTGTGGCGGGACGGGTCTGTTAGCCATTGTCATGACAAATGTATTTAACTATTTTCGGTTAGTTTTGCTGACGGTCCCACATTCGACTGGCCCCAAAATGCAGTTGCAATTCAAAGCTGAGCTCGGGGGCTTGTCACACATTATTTTCATTATGCTCGCATCCCTTGGGGCGCTGTCAGCAAGCGGGTGCAAGTGTGTGTGTGTGTGTGATGCTATTCACAAATCGGTAGCACGCACGGACGGCATAATGTAACAATGCTGGGCAGCAGCATCATTGTCGCTAAGCGTTCCACAACAATTCCCGCTGGGTTACACATGCTTCGTGGCACAGTTGCCTTATTTGTGGCGCCTGGACGGCGCTCAATAAAATTCCCTTGTTGCATATTTGTGCGGGCGAGCGGCATTTGGGGCATTGCCAAAAACCCTCTGGAGCTATTTGCATGCATCTCTGAGTTGGCTTGGGCTGGGCTGGGCTGGGCTGACCCCACTCTCCGCAGATACTTAAAGCAGAGTCTCTGTTGGATAGCTGAGAGAGTTGCAGAGATGTAAGCAGAGTTCATCAAAGCTGATATTAACTCGCACAGTCCCAGATACTCAGGATACTCAAGGAGAGCCTCGATGATTTGATGCCTTATGATATAAACCTTTGTTGAGTGGATCTCAGCTGTAATCAGACTTTTGCTTGGCAATTTTCTCTTTCCTTTTGATACAACACGCACATATATACTTAACTCTCTCATTTATATATATCTTCTTCCTCTTGTTTCTCGTGTAGCTGCCCCTTTCTGGCGACAACCATCAATCCAGTTATACCCATTGTGGGCGCCGTTTTATATTTCTTCACGATGAGCTCACTGCTGCGCACAACCTTCACAGATCCCGGCGTCATACCGCGTGCCTCCAATGATGAGGCCGCCTATATTGAAAAGCAAATTGGTGAGTATATATACCCTACCCGCCTCCCCCGTTCCTACCTTCCGCCATATATTCCCTCTTTCCAGTTTATGTCAGTCAAAGAGTCAAAGAGGCGAATGTGGACAAGGTCGTTTTGCCTGTTGAATGGCTCATGACTGCCACGCCCACAGACAAACACACACATACACTCGCACACACACACACATGCATTTATGCATTTGTATATATTTGTTTTCACTTCATTAAGTTGGCGAGTGTGTGTGTATGCTGGTGTGTGTGTGTGTGTGTGTGTGTGTGTGTGTAGCCCCACATAAAAAGTAATGAGCGTGTCCTGGCATAGAGAGCTGCGAAAAAAAAGCAGAAGAAAATATGTATGAAAATCATCAAAGGCAAAAGCTGTGCTGCCTTTACCCTAATGAGTTGTTGTTGTTGTTGTTGTTGCTGTTGCTGTTGGAAAATATTTAAAATGAGAAAACTTTTGCTCTTTCTCTCCCTTTTACTTGCATGTCAACAACAACTTTGTCGCTGTCGCTGCTGATGCTGCATTTCCGATGCCAACGACGACGCCGACGCCGACGCCGACGCGCACATCCGGTTCCGTTGCCGCCATGCCGCCTGCGCAGAAGTGCCAAACTCGCTGAACAGCCCCACATACCGGCCGCCGCCCCGCACCAAGGAGGTGCTCGTCAAGGGCCAGACGGTCAAACTGAAATACTGCTTCACCTGCAAGATCTTCAGGCCGCCGCGCGCCTCGCACTGCAGCCTGTGCGACAACTGCGTGGATCGCTTCGATCACCACTGTCCCTGGGTAAGTGCCAGTCCCTGCGGCCCTCTGACATTGCGAAAATGTGGGCCATCGAAAACAACTTTCACTGACTTTAACCCAATTCCTGCGCCCAACTGCTGAGCTAGCTGAGAAAATAATTTGTGCAGCTCATGTTCTGACTGCGATGCTCCCTGCTGCCTGCTGGTCGACCGCAGAGCTTTGCCAGCAAAAAATAAACAGACACACACTAATACAGATACACACAGTCACCCCGTCGAGTACTACCCAATTTGAGTTTTTTCTGCTGTCGCACAGGCAGGCAGCACAAAATGCGAATTCCCCGCGAGCGCCTCAAAGATGCAACAAGATGTGGCGGGTGGTGGAGCGAACAAACAAACCGCTGCACACAAAGCACACACAGAGAGAGCGAGAGAGATAGAGAGAGAGAGACATACATAGACTTTTATACGCATACTTAAGTAGCCGCACTCTGATTTTCTAGCTTGTGAGTCTCTCGCTGTGTGTGTGTGTGTGTGTGTGTTGGGGGCATGTTGCATTAAGTGCAACGCGCTTTTTCAGGCAACATTGGCATCGTCATTCTTATACCCTCTCGAATAAACAGCAGTTGAGGCTTATCTCGATAACTATTTAAGCAGCTGCTTAGTTAGTCCCTTCACTAGTTAGCCACGACTGGGCTGTTAAGAGTGCCAGACCAAGAGGATAGCAACGATTGCTAACATACCATGTGGCTTACTTGCAAAATTCACTATACTGTTCACCAATTACAGGGTATGCTTGGACCGTATTGTATACCCTATCCTAAGCCGATGCCATCCACATGCCGCCGTAGATTGGGCGCTGAATTTTTCATTTGCTGAGCGTTGCGTTCGCTCGGACCTCCCGAAGCAGCACCACCCAGCCACGCTAAGCCACCGCGGCGCACCACTCCAGGCCGCGCAGTCAGCCGGCTTGATTATGAGCTGTTGGCACTGCTGTCAGCGCTGAAGGTCGCCTCGCGCCGCCTCCTGCCATTTCGGGCCTTCAAGCAGCGGGTGGTCTAACTAAAAAAAAAAAAAAAAAACCAAGCGAAGAGAGAATTAAAATTGAGGCATTTCTCGGCGTTGTACAGAACGCGTAATTTCATTTTGCCGCCAATTATATTGCGAACGGCTGGGGCGAGTGGGGGGGGCCGATGAAAGGGCAATTAACCTTATTGTGTGACGGGGTTTGGGGCATTATGCAGGCCTTGTGCGATGCGAAATTCTCCAATAAAGCACTTGTCTCTCTTTCCAGGTGGGCAACTGCGTGGGCAAGCGAAATTATCGGTTCTTTTATTTGTTTCTAGTCTCACTGGCATTTTTAGCCGTATTTATATTCTCGTGCTCTGTGACGCATTTAGTTTTATGTGAGTAAATCAAATCGAGCTGTTCGCTCAGATAAGGCCAGCATAAATTAATCAAATCAATATTGATTTCTACGATTCGGACAGTGATGAAAACGGAACAGGAGGTCTTCAAAGTAATAAAGAAGGCGCCCTTCACTGTGATTGTTGTGTTCATTTGTTTCTTCTCCATCTGGTCGGTGATTGGACTGGCTGGCTTTCACACATATCTGACCACCAGCGATCAGACAACGAACGAGGATGTAAGTGCCCAGAATGCCTACTCTTAAATACATACATATATCTCGTACATCTTTACTTTTGCGCACAGCTCAAAGGCTCGTTCTCGTCGAAGGGCGGGCCGCGCACCCAGAATCCCTATTCACGCGGCAATATTTGCCTGAACTGCTGCCACATTCTGTGCGGTCCCATGACACCCTCGCTGATTGACAGGTAAATTAATGTTATGCTGCCTGCCATGAATTGCATCATTTGTTAAACTGAACAATTTGTCTCCACAACACACACACACACACACTCACACTCATACTAGGCGCGGCATAGCTACGGATGAGTACATACAGCAGATGCATCATTCCAGTCCGCGGCATGCCCTGAGCGATGTGATCAGCGCCTCACAAATGGTAACCACAGCGCAGCCCATGCTGGGCAGCATGAGTGGCATCGGTGGTGCTGGTGGTGGTGTAAGCATTGGTGGTGCCGGCGCTGAGCTGAAGCCGCGCTTCTATGACGAGGTAAGCACTAAATGCAGCATTCCAATTCGAGCACGTCCATCCAAATCTCCATCCTAATCGAAATCTAAATGTCTCGGCACCTGTGCTTGCTTATCAAATCTCAATCTCAATCTCCTCCTCTATATCTATTTCTATCTCTCTCTCTCTCTCGTACAATGAACTTCTATGCACCTCATATTTGACGCTCTGTTTTTTGTTTCTATCTCTTTTATTTTTTGGTTTTTGGTCAATATTGATTTTGGTAACAACTCGTTAAATATATATTTGCATATATATATATATATAAACACGAACAACCATATATATATAAACAACAACAACAACTACTACTACTACTACTACAACTACAATCAACATCATCACATATTCACACCGCCAACAATCAGTCAAATCCCTCTTCCTCGACGTTGGAGAGCAACGGGGTGGCCGCCGCTTCTGGCGGCGCTGTCAACGGCCATGGACATGGCCTTGGGAATGGCTTCGATCGTCCGCCCAGCTACGATATGCTCCAAAACGGTAAGTCCAAGTCGCGTCGGCAGCAGAGTCAACGCTGCTCGCTGCAAACACTGCTGCCAGCTAGCGCACAGCATCAGTTCAAAGCCAACAAACACAAACAACTCAAACACCAGTCACACCAACAACAACAAACACAAACACAACCGCATCAGAAGCAACAGCTGCTGGCTGCAGAACTGCAGCTGCATCTGCAGCAGGAGGCCCTCGCCAGTGGGCTGGCCACGCCGCCCTCGCTGCAGCGCTCGCCGGCGACTTCCTCCTATCGGCTGAACCTGAAGCGCTCGCTGCACCTGCCGCTGACCCCATCATACGATGCACGCAACTCGCCGCTGCCGCTGCTCCACCATCACGTGCACGCCCAGCAGACAACCGCCATTGGCAGCGTGTCGGCGGCGGCAGCGAGCGGGGGCGGCGGCTCCTCGTCGTCGGCGACGACAGCGCCCACCTCGGCATCGATGGCAACGGCGCCGGCGCTGGCGCCACGACGACCCTCGACGCTGAAGCTGCAGGGCAGCGCTGCGATCTCGGCCAGCAACAGCACGGTGACCACAATACACACAGCGGCGCCACAGCCGCCGGCGCCCAGCGACTTCAAGTACTATTCCCCGCAGCGCGTCAGCAACTATCCGTTTCCGAAGGCGGCGCGCAGCATGCGCCGGCAATCGACGCAGTCGGTGGACTCGCAAAAGGTGAACATTGCCGGCTATCATCCGCTGCCGATGCGTCCGCGCTACAAGCATCAGGAGGTGATGTTCGAGCTGAAGTCACCGACCAATCGGCTGACCATTCGAGAGTGCGACTTTGGCGGTGGCGGCGAACCCTGCGACGACGATCAGTCGATCAAGGATAGCCAGATCTTTCGTGTTAGTAAACGAAATCTTTATATGAATCACCGATCGCCATGGAAGGAGCGCGATCGTTACTCGAACCTGTACGAGTATTCGTTCAACATCGATCTCAATTCGATTATCGAGGATGCCGCGGGCAGCGACTCGTCCTAGTACGCAGCTCGCAGCTCCCAAGCAAACACTGCCGTCGACTGTGACCGCCGCCTGGTCGCAGTTGCCACTGACTACATTGATTGGTTGTTAAACGCTGTACGCTCTAAGGGATTGCCCCGTGCTGGGCTCCTGGCAGTCTGCCTCCGATTCCTACTGCTGCCAGGCTCGGGCTAGGTATGCTGTTCGAGCAAATAGTTAGGCCGTAACGGAACGGAATTTTTTCCAAAAAAAAATACAAAATCATACAAAAAAACAAACCAAAAAAATTTAAAAAAAAAATGACAAATTTAATAATATATAAAAAAAAACTTTGAAATTGAAAAATTGCTAAAAAATATATAGTCTGATGACATACATATACGTACTGTATGCACATATAAACATGTGCATAGATCCTTGGTTATTACCCAACACTGGCTTTGGTAATTTCACAATTGGCTTCCGTGACGCGCTTTTTAGGGTAGATGATTGAATTGATTTTCCGTAGCTCTAGTTGGCATTGCCTTTATATTTTTATTTTTTTTTTTTGGATTTTGCACGCCTAGTTGCAGCTCGGTTGTCGCGTTTATGATTTTATTTCTGTTTTATGGAAATTTTGGACACCCAGCAACCAACACTGAATCCCCGAACCCAGCCCTCCGTTGTAATAACTCGTAGAACCCGACCCAGATCTAAGCCTGGACAACAACAACAACAGCAACAACAAAATAGAGAAAATGAAAACTTGGTTCATACAAACTTTTGCGTTTATGTAGCACCTATATATCATAGGCGAGCCACGCTGCCGCACCGCATCTGATCCAGCCGCGGAGCGGTCAGTGTGGCCATATATTTTCAGTTGTCGCAGCAATTAACACACCTAACACACACTTAAATGTTGAAAGTCCATATCCCGACGCCGCCACCTCCAATAGTAAATAAATTCAACCAAAAACCGAAACGAAAAACTTTCTAAGAGCAATGCATTTTGATGACACCTGCATGTTGAGACTCGATTCGTAGTAGTCGATTGAGATTTTAATTTCTTAAAAACGATATACATACATTATATAGATATGTACTTGAATGAAAAGCCCCTGAATTGTGGGCAGTCACTTGAGCAATTTAGTTGAAATTTAATTTGTGAGGTTTCAATTGAATGAACTCAAATACGAAACGTAAACAACAAAATGAAACAGAACAAAAAAAAAAAAACAGTTAGCAAACAATTTATAAAAATAGCCAAACAACTGCCATTTATTGAGAACAAAAGAGAAGAAACCACATTTTGTTTTTACAACGAATATTAAGTAAACAAATCTTAAAAAATTCAACGAGAATTTGATACGTGTAGTGTTGTATAACAAATTTTAATAGATCTGTAATTTAAAACAACTCTAGTCGAAACTAACTTACTGATGCATTATTAGTGCGAAATGCATGCGGAATATTGGATAAATATTAGTGTAAACAGATTGCCAAGTGACTGCGAATATGTCATAAAAAAAAAAAAATATTAACAATAACAACTGAGAGACAAATATTTATACATAAACAGATAGTTGTAAATGTTAACAGCGAACGACGATGTGCGGACGAAGGGGAGAGAGCGAGTCCTGGCCATAGATGAGACATACCATAGCATGCGTATGGCCAGCGGGTAGCTTAGTTATTTAAGTGACAAATTCAATAGAACAATAAGTCAGCTTACTGTAAAACGGACGGCGCACTAGCAGCTCGTGCCCAGTCTTAAAGGCTATTAATGTTACGCATTAACAATATTATATATATATTATATATACATAAATGAGTTCCTTTTAGCAATGGAAGAGTTATAAAATTGTATACATACGTATGTTGAAGATGTTCAAAACACGCGTGTTGAATATATATATATATATAAATGTATGATGCTTATGTATGTTATAATAAGCGGCTGATACACACACACACACACACATACAAGCATATTTATAAAATTATACTTAAATGTTGGGCAATAAAATGTACTCTAGCGTATCTATGAAAACAATTGAAATGTTAAGGAATTACAGAGCAAACAAACTCACACACATACACACACACACACACAGCTACTATTTATGTATACACTTAACGGCAAGATAAACTTTGTGTGCGTACTGCCCAAACTCACTTCAGTGCGAAATGCTACAGACCAAATGTGAAGCATTAAATGTGCTTGAGCGAAATCCGAAATTGAATATCATTAAATTTGCGAGCGTTTAGCAATTGACCAATAAGAAAACGCCTGTGTTTCGCCGCAAAATGTTTTCGAGCGGCGAAATGCTTTCCTATTGCCGCGGCGAATTGCTTCCCATGGAAGAGCAGTAAGACTTTTATACGAGAAGCATATTGCTGAAGTGAGGATCAAGTATGCGCACACACACGTACACATATACACACACACACACACTGGCAGCTGTACTAGAGTGTGCAGCGGCCAATCAGAGTGGACGCCATTTTGTTAAGGTTTGCGCGCTTCTTCTTAGCCCCCCACTTCGCTGCCAATCGCCGCCATGTTTGAGTTTCCATTTAGCGTGATATCATTTCGCATGAATTCAAATTGCAGGCGCGCCACACAAGCAGACGCACCCGCCCACCACTCACTCCTCTATCCGAGTAATAATAATGATAATAAGGCAACAACAACAACAACAACAACAACAACAGCAACTACATGTCAATACTATCATGATGATTTTTCTCTTGGTTATTTATGCACATATATACACAACCCCTGTACACTAATGCCAAACTCTTTTTTATGTCTTTCAATACAACTTGTGACTATGGAAACTAACAAAAACAAATCGAACATAAAACTTTTTATGTCTTGTTATTGATCAACTCGAAAATATAATAATGACAAAACAAACAAATTGCTAACCAATCAAAATTGCAACTAAAAACTATATGCAATTGAGGGAAAGCTTTCGAGGGCCGCTTAAAACTAGAGTAAAACAAAAATGCCTCATGCTAAATGCCTCAATTGGGTGAGTTGCCTCCACAACACGAAAGTAATAATTCCCTTTTCTGTTGTTCAACTTATGTAATGGTAAAAGTAATATAACAAAAAGTATTCAATTCGAGTAAATTTTACAACGCTTTAAATGCTTTGTTTTCAAAAGCAAAGATTGTGCTATATATTTGTATACCAATCCAATCCGATATCTGTGTACTTTGCTTTTTTCGTTTTGTATAGCGCAACTAGCTAAAGATACAAGCGTTCGAATACCCTGTACAATATCATTTCAAAGCTGTCTTTTGTTGCTTAGCCTTGTTTATGTTATTTTCTATAAAAAAATAAAAATATGTGAACACAATTCACACGAATTGCTTATGATTTGCTTAAGTAAATACAGAAATATACAAACCTCATAACATATACATGTATTTCCATATCACACTCTCAACAGACCTCAATCAATACCCGACGTTTCTTTAGCAATTAAATTTGTGTTATAGTTTAAGCATTGGCATATTTGAATATTTCATTAAAAATACGTAAAATTGTTGGAGCATGCTTTGAATTGTTTCATCTATTGTATTTCAATTGGCACCGCATCGAACACATTCATTAAGCGTTCTCTCTGTACTTATATAAAATGACACAAATCATAGCTCATGAATCTATTCATTATTCATTGCCATTGGCCATTTATTGATTTAAGCGATTATCAAATTGAATTATATATTTTTAATTATGTTTACGACCCCACCAAACTGGCCAGCAGAGGATGCCGCATCGACAGGCTCATCAACTCAAATCCCATGTATAATTTTATTTGTTTGAGTTGTTTTGTGCATTGGCTACATTTGATCTATCTATTTAATTTTTAATTTGCCGCCTTTTTCAGCATTTTTCAATTGTTTGCATATTTGAATAGTTTGTTAAACCAGCAGCGAAACCACCAACAACAACAAAAATTAAGAGTAAAACCACCAACCACACGAGCGAAAAAAAACTATTTTGAAAATTAAAATACGAATTTTTAATTAGTTGTCAAATTTGTTGCAATGAGAGTTTTAACATTTTAAATGTTTCACATTAATTATGTATGCATTTTCATATGTATATGTATTTATATATGTAGATACATATATATAGATACATAAAAAGCAGAATAGGTATTATTTTGGAACTAATCGTTGGACATCTCGTTCGCAGGTAATTCCAATAGTCTAGCCCAGCTCGTTGACAACGAGATCCCTTTGGCCCAGATGGACATGCCGGCGTACACACAGCCGACGGCCACACAGACGCGTCAATTCCGGCACCACAAGCAGCGACAGCTGTCCAACGGCGCCTCGGCCGTCGAGGATTTGGCCTATGAGAATCAATTGGCCGCAGCCGGCAGTGAGGATGAGCTGGACAATGCGGATGTTGTTGTTGTAGGCGGCACAGAGGTAGTCGCCGCGGTGGCCGCCATTGCGGCCTCCAGTAAGGCGCGTGAGATGCGCAACCGCAACCGCAGCGGCAGCTACAGCAATCTGTTTGACGTGGACTTTGACGCAGCGCTGGTCAACTCACCGGGGCTGGGCGAAAACCATAAGCCCTCTGCGGGCGCGGCTCTCCTGGCAGCTGCCATCAGCGGCGAACAGCATGCCCTGGCCAAGTCCGTCTCACAGACGGAGAACATGTACAGTAACGTGCCCCAAGTGGCCGTCTCACCGTCCACAGATGCCGCCCTGCACGTCTATTCGAACATCATTGACGAGCAGGCCCAGCAACAGCGGCAGCACAACGAGCGGATACAGGCGTCCACGGTGCTGTCATCGACGCTGCTCAGCGACGATCTCGATCTGGACGATCCAGTGAGCGCCTCGTTTGTGGGCGGCGGCAGCGGTGGGGGCGTGCACAGCCATGGGCATGGGCATGGGCATGGCCATCGCAAGTCTGGAGGCGATGGCGCCGAGCAGGTCAAGTCGGCTGATCGACTGCGCATGCTGCACGACACGACCATGATTGACACGGCACTCGATCTAGACAGCCTGGACGGGTCCAGCATGGGCAACAATTCGCAGTCGTGCTTGGTGAAGACGGCCAAATCAACTTCTAATTCCAATGGGGCGCCCATAGTCTAAATTACAGTATTTACTGTCATTACTCGCGTATACCCTGTAAATAGCTAAGTTTTATCCAATGTGCTTCAGTTTATTTTAATTAGGCGGTCCAGCAGCAGGAGAGAGAGAGTATTATAAAGCCTAATACTTGATCTTTTTTAAACATTTAGTTTTAGTTCAATCAATGAGCAGACACTTAAGATATCAACCTATCAAGAAGCAACTAAAATATTACCTTAAGGCGTTACGCATTCATAAATATAAAACAAATATATATACAAAAGTTAAAGAAGATAACAATTAAAGCAAACAATACAGATACAGATATACATATACAAATTAGAACAAAAGGAAAAGGAAAACAAAAACAAAACGTGGTGAACAATGTTAACAATTCAAATGCATTACAAATGAATGAATAAATCCATACTATATTATTAAATGAAAACTGTTTATACACATACACACATACACAGGCATTCATGTAAGGCAACAGTATATACATATATTAAGGCATATATAGATATATGTATATGGATATATGTTGTATATATGGTTAGTTAGTAGAGTATATAATTTTTGTATATTTAAGTTTTTACAAAGGGCAAACGACGAGCGTGTTTTCCGTTCTTCAGAGTTTATTACGATTTTTCTGTAATAGCAAGAAAAACAAATTTAAAGCGGAATATTCCATGCAATATATTTGTATGTAAATCATGTTATAACACATATACATAGATATATATATATGTATAAAATAAATAATTAACTAATCAGAGAGAGTACACCACAAGAATTGTTAAATGCATGCGAGACAAAGAAAAGTGTGACGAATAAGTGTTTATTTACATCATATATTATACTTACTATGTAAATCAAGTTAAGAGTATGTGCGTGGTGTACAATGTTATCTAAACTTATAAATCGAAGTACAGAGTTTGACATGTTAAAAGAAAAAAAATTTAAAAACAAAGCAAGAGTATGTTATGCGAAACTAATGAACTACAATTATACAAAGAATACAATTTATAAATAGAAAACATGGAAATATCTGAAGTTCTTACTGGGCGGCTTAAGTCTATCAAAATTAACATACCAAATCCAAGGGGAGTTACAGCCAAACCATTATCTCACATTCTCTTAAATATTGGGCTTAAAAAAAAAAACTGTATTGATTTGTTTAATTTTTAGATTTTATTATAAAGAAATTAGACATGGATTTTATTGATCAGTTGATAAACAAATATGCCTTAAGTATATCGGGTGCATTTAGCAATTGAAGACAATTTCGCAGATAAATTACAAAAATATTTGTAGATGCTGTCTTTTTGTGATTTCAATTACATTTTTGTGTGTTTGCAGCATTAGAAAATCAATTTCTACATTTAAAATTCATTAAACATTAACAGTCACTTCTCAAAAACAAATAGAACATGACATTAAGATGTTATAGCTGGACAAATGGTATCGTATAACCAAGTGTTTGGACAATTGGGTGTAATATTTACATAAAAATTAGAATATACTATTCGAAAGCTACCAAAGAGAGCTACATGTTTTCCGAATATTTAAAATTTAAATAACTAAAATATTTTTATACAAATATTTTTGGCAAACTAAATGTAATTTCGAGCTACCAATTAAGTGCCTGGAGCATGAGCAATTTAGCATGGATTAGCATTAGATTAGAGATAAGCGCTTGCATTCCCTTTGGCCACGGAATCCAAGTGTTATTATTACAATATAATGAAAAAGGCAGAACATCGCTTAAATTTAACTCTCCATCGCTCTACTCGTTCCATATGTATAACTGTCTGTGAGTTTGTGGGAGTGTGTTTGTGTGCAAAGCAGCAGTAGAACTTGCAGAAATTTATCGCCGATAACGTCCCAAATATGCCTTGCAGTTGGGGCACGTGTGGTGGACGTCCATGCAGTCATCAATGCAACAAGGTATCAAGCAGCAGCCCAGCCAGCAACTGCAATTAAAAAAGGTTTACCATCAGATAAATCTGGGTTATATCAAAGACTGCCTCTGGCGCACTTACCCAAGCAATGCAATTACAAAACCGGACAAATAGGCAATCATGCCCGGCTCTGTGCGTGTTGTCGACTCAATCTCCGCATGGCATGAGGGGCATATCATGTGTGTGGAAGTCCGTCCAATGGGCACAACTGTCGTCAGTATATTTGTACCCCCGGCGGTAGCAGGCGCTACAACTGGCGTGTATGGACCCACTGGCTTCACCCCGCCCACGGCCTCCAGATAGGATGGGGGCGCCGATGGCGGTGGAACGTATGTGAACGGCGGCGCATTGCCCGTAGACTTGCTCATTTTGTTAATATCCAAATATTCCTATAAATGCACGTGATTGAAAAAGCTGCACAAAATAGACCGAATCAAACAATTAATAATGCACAATATAAAATTAGCAACATAGGATAGCCCTAAACTGACAAAAATGCTAAAAATAGCATACACCAATGCTGATGATTCACGAACAGAGCGCCAGAGAACGAAAGAGCTTGGTCCACGTAATTTATGTGCCCGCATTTCGAAATAAGTGAACGAAACATCAACAGAGAGCAAGGCCAGGCGATTAATTGGCATGGCTATGGTTTTTTCAGAGACTATTGAGGAATTATATATATACCCTGGACAACATAGAGATTCTTTATATAATCATTTAGATTCTCGCAGAGTAAAACGTTGTCTCTATATCAAAAAATATGTTTTAATTGAGAGCTTTTCATGGAGCCTTCAGCAATTCATGTGACAATTGCAATTTAAATCTCCATTGACGACATACAATGGGCGATCATATATATATATATATATACATATTCATATACCGACATTAATTTGTTTGCTGCACTGACATGCGGCTACATCAATTAGACGCTTCGTCAATAATTGCCAACTTGTTGCGCTGATAAGCAACGACAGACAAGAGGATACACATACATACATATATGTATATATATATATGTACATCATTCTGATAATTACGTCTATGAAGCAACGATGTCATGTGCTTGGTCGAATGGGAAGTTAACAAGAGTAGCAACAACAACAACAACATTACAGAGCTTAACTCGACTGCTGGAATGCGGCTTTCCCCACCCAAAACAGAGACAGCAGCAACTGCCAACAAGTGGGCGCAGAAACCGAGTAGCAACCGCAACCGGAAGTATTCGACTTCGAGCTTAGAAGAGCAAACCGATTGGAAATTCAATCTACTCTCTGACGGTATCTGTTTAGCTAAAGGGTATATCGTAGTACAGCAAGCGCGACAGCGCCTTCAATTTGCTAATTCCATTAGCGAAAGACGTAAGTCATATGTAATTTCAGTCAAGCAATGCCAGAATTCCTCCAAATTAAGTCATAATTACAACTGAGGCCAGACACAACAAAAGTTTGAACAAACACTTGTTTTCTCATAAAATGACGTCATTGGGCGAGCAACTATTGCAACTCTTTAAAGTTGACTGCGTCATGCAAAGCTTAATGAACTAATCCCTTTGGCATTTGAATACCGTTTGCGTGCACTTGTTCCATATTCTTTAATATTATTAACTATTCGTTTCAGCTTTCAATTAATTTAAGATGTTAATTACTATACCAACATTCCTAACATTTTTTCTCTTCAGATTTTAGTCCATACAGTTGTATAAATACACAGATCTATTTAAAATATATATATCTGTATGTATGTCTTTTAAACAATTGAAGCTCTGGGAGTTGATTTGAACAGATGTTGATCTGCCTACGAGGTGACGTCGTCGTGCTATAATCGGAGAATATATAGCTAAAGTACACAAATATACACATATATGTATGTACATGAATGTGCATATGTGGTAGTAGTAAAAGTGTTTATGCTACTGTTGTTGTTGTGCAGCAAACATATTTTTAGCAATATGTATATACAGGTGTACACATTAGAAATATTTTGTTTTATATAATGTAATATAGTGATCTGTATGCGTACACACTATAAAGGCTCAATTAAAACCAATGTAAAGTATAATGCACTTATTTCTTTGCTTCTTGAGCAGAAAATAATTTACACATATGTATATGTACGTATAAATCGAGCATTGCGCTTGTATTGGTAAAACTACCACTTTTGCTTTTGCATATTTGCCTTATTAAAATAGTCCAGAAATAGACAACAAACACACACAATTTTCGTATTTAACTAATTTCCTCGAAATTCGGTAAGAGAAAAAATATATACATAGATAATACGCATTTAAAATAAACACAAATACACCAAATGGTGTGAAGCTATTGAGCACTCGCGACCTTCGTACCGAACCTACTTGCCCTCATTTATATAAAAAATATATATAAACAAATCAGTAAACGCAAATTCTAGTTAGTTTTACCTCAGAAATTCGTCGAACCGAGCAAACTTTCGCACAATAACACGAAACGGCAACACGCTAACTAGTGATGCAAATCAAATGCTAACTAATCGATATATCGAAATATCTTAAGACAATTACAATAGCATCGATATGAGTATATTTTGTATATTCTTTTTTTTTTTTTTTTTTTGTTAAATACACTATGCAGTGTCTTTTAAAAAACAATGGTTACTTTTGTATATAAATATAAAAATCTATTTTAAATGTCATTTATTTTATGATTGTGCTCGATAGCAGTAGTTGAAACTAAATTTACCATCCCTATCATAAAGTTCTTGTGATTGTGACAGCCCTGGTTATTTGTTTACGTTATTGAAAATATCTAATACGATTAGAGTCAATGTTTACGTGGGGTCTATGTCATCTAAACACACACCGGATATATCAGAGCTGCTACCGGTGCGCGAGTACCGCTGCGAGCACTGCACAAATCAAGTGTTTGGTAATCAAAGTCACTATAGCCTGCATCTTCGACGAAGACACAAATTGGCACTCATAAAGAACGATGCGACGAATCGGGCATATCATTGTCCAGTGGCGAATTGTATTTACCATGAAGAACGGAAAGGCGGAAGAGGATTTGCAAATCTCCGATTTCTGCGACAACATTACCAAAAGACGCATATGACCAAGACTTTCAAATGCAATAATTGCAATGAAGCCTTTCTACTGGAGCGGCATTTGGAAAAACATCTATGCTGTTCCACTTATCCTTGTCCTGTATGTGGACTCACATATACCAGCAAGGCGAGCCTCCAGACCCATATGCGACGCAAGAATCACCTGAGCGTGTCCTGTGAGAGTGACTTAACTAAGGATGTAGCCACATTGTCTAAAGTAGCAATTCCTAAACTGAAGCCGTGTAAAAATTTACCAAAGAGTGCAATTAAAATGGTAGATCAATCGACAAATACTGAGGAAGTGGCTTCAGATGATTCGCCAAATAATGTGTCCAACATGGAGCACACTTGCTCTGTGGATTCACCTATGCAACCATCATTCTATTGCCTGCCAGACATCGAGGTTCCCTATGCTCTGCAAACAGCCACGCAGACCGAAGATAGCGTTGACATGGACGTGGCGATTCAAACGGCTATAGATGTAGCTCTTAAGGAACGAGAAAATGCAGAGAACGGATTGCCTATGCCAAGTTTAACATATGATGAAGTTAATCGCCTTTTACGCGATATGGAAACTCAAACGGAGGATGTGGATCTTGATGAGCTTGACATGAACAATGAGGTGCTGGGTCCACTGCTTCGTGATATTCAAACCCAAACGCTCGACAACAGACAACACCAAGGGACAATGACAGAACTAGACCAGGACACGGAGACACAGCCTAATGATAATTATGTAGCTTACCAGGAGGAGCAGGAGACGATATTCGGGCCGCAGAACTCAGCACACATGCACACTCAGACTTGCGATGAGCTATTCGAAGAGCTTGGCCTCTCGCACATACAAACTCAAACGCATTGGCCAGACGGTCTCCAAAATACGCAACATACACAAACTTGCGACGAAATGCTGGACGAGCTCTTGGAGAATTTTCAATCCACCTATACGCAAACCAGATGGTAGGATTGGCACTGAAGACGCTGTTAACTGTTAATAAATTACTTAGTAAAAATATATACGTTCACAGACTTTTATTGGCTTACTTGTTATTTAAGGCATATACAATAGAAAAGTTGACATTTAGCACAGTCTTACACAGTTTTTGTATGGGATCTGTCAGAAGTCTAAGTTTCTTTACTTTTCTTATCCTTGGTGGACCTGGTCAACAGAACCTCTGAGCATTGGAAGAAGCAGTAGCTGCAAAAACTCAGTGCCAAATAGTTGCCTATGCCACTCATGTAGGCGCCGCGCATTAGAAATCCACCCACTTCCTGGCCAGCAATGAAGTAGACATTGGAAAAGGCAGCGGGTATAAAAAGCTGGGTGGCAAGGATGGCATGTAATCTCTGGGCGCCAGCAGAGCCAAAGTGTTTGAGCGACCAATTCTGATATGCCGGCCTCGACACGAATGTCTTGTAGAGCTTTTCTGCAGCCAGGCAAATAAAATTAAGTATGCTCCAAATAAGTACATAGGTGTAGCAGCCGTGCCAGATGAATACAAATGAAAACGTCAGTGCAGTGGCGCAAAGCTTGGCTGCTGGAGACGACTTCCGACTGCACAGCTCAGCGTATATGTGCTTAAAGAGAAACTCATACAGCCCCTCATCGAAGTACTTCCACATGTCCGAATAGAAATGAATGCGTCCGATACAGCGTGGTCGCCTTGGTGCCGCAATGCCATCGTACTCAGCAAATGCGATGCCCAGACCATAGGTAATCACGTAGAATATGAAGAAGAACTGGCCCATAAAGTAGCCGGCAGCATGCTGCCAGAATACCGACTCCATCATAACCACCGCTCGCACATCTCGCGTCATATAGTTGATGTAGAAGTAGTGAAGCGACCACTGCAAGACCAGCCACCAAAAGACGACGCGCAGCAGAGCAACAAAGAAACTCCAGTTAGGGGACACAGCCTCGCCCGTGGGTTGTTGCTTGAAGCGCTCATAGCTAATGAACGGTCCATAGGTGAGGCAGGGAAAGTACATGGTGTACGCCAGGTACTCAGATAGGTTTTTCGAGCCGATTGCAGTAAAGGAGTAGCTGCAGCCACGCAACAAACTCCAGGAGAGTGTTACTATTAGCATGACATACTCTGCATATCCAACTTTAGACAGCCACCATTGGCTGGTTTTTGCAATGTTAAGGGCTCCGATCCAGGCAGCGGTGAGCAGCCAAGTATAAAGCTTTGACCGTGCGTGCAGTGCTATCAGATAATAGCTGACCAGCAGAGACCCAAACATAGCCATTGATGTCCAATGCAAATTGAGACCCAACGCCAAAGCGCAGATAGCAATATGACCGGGTCGGCGCAGGTAACTCCACTTCCAGCGCGTGACGCTACTCACAAATGCATGCAACAAGTAGTAGGGCCAAAATTTAGCAATGAAATCAGCAAAGTTCTCCAATTCGTCGTTGCTGTCATCGCGTTTGGGGGCCACGTCAGAGCGTTTGAGCAGACTCCAGCCATCTGCAAATTGGAAGTCAGTCGTACTTAGTATACGATCCCTTAATGCATAGATTTTATACAGTCCAATAACAATATAAGCAATATAAACACAAAAGTAGGCAAGTTTTTCGAATCGGTTTAATAAGCCGGCAGTCATTTCGATATCGATAACTAGTACTGGTACTGGTATCGATAGCGATGGGAGAGTGTCGTGCTTAAATTTCTATCTTCATTGTAACATATTGGGTTAAACTAGAATGTAAATATATAATATATGCTATAGGTAACCTATAGGCATCAATGTATATGATAGATTATGTAAACAATTTAGTGACAGATGTAACTTAGGACTACATTATTTCTAAAATCGCAAGGTGTTTAAGTGTAATGTACAAATATATGTATGTATGCATGTGTACGAATGTTTGTATGTATGTTAACGCATGTATGCGTGTATGTATGTATAGGCATATGATCTTTAATTCATATCATCCTCTTCTTCATGCTCCTCCTTGACTTTACGCCCCGCCTCGGTTGTTCGCCGTTGCAAGTGCCGCCAGAGCGTGCTCTTAGGTATTTCAAAGAGATTAGCTGCATGATTTTGGGTCATCCCATCGTTGAGGCAGGCATGCACTGCCTTTGCAAGCTTCTCACGCAGCTCATCCTTTGGGGTACTGTCACGCCGCCGGCAAGCAACAAAGTCGGGCAGGCGGCCCTGTGCGGCCAGACGCACTTTGTGCCGATGCAGCGTCGACATAGGTATGTGCAGATCCTGGCTTATGCTCTTCAATGAGTCGCCGTTCTTTAGGCGTTCATATGCTTCCGAAAGCGAAGGTTTCTCCCGTTTTATTCTCATGTAGGCTGGATTCGAGCGCACACGTCGCCATAGCACGGTTTTCGATATGTCGTAGCGATCAGCAGCTTTCTGCAAGCTAAGGCCCTCGTGTAGAACAGCAGCCGCTGCGAGGTCGAGGGCATCATTGAGATCTTCCTTACATTCTTTTTTAAGAGCTGCGTGCTGCTGATGCTGTTTGGTCATTGCTTTCTTTATTGCTTTCGATGATGCTGGACGCTGGCGTGCCTTGAATTTTAAAATTTTCATATCGAGTTGAGATTTACGAGGTTTCACATCCAATAGCTCATCATCATCCTCCTCGTCTCCGTCATGCATTCCATCCTCGTGCATATCTACATCAGCCTCGGCGCTCATCTCTATCAAAGGATCTGCCGAACCAACATATTCTTCCTCGATTAATTGTGACTCGGATTCTTCGTGCTCGTCTGTGACCTCAGCCTCGACATCCTCGTCCCCTAGCTCAGCTGTCTCCACTGAGTCGACCACAGCTGAGCTACCTTGCACTCCCAACTTGCCCACGGATGACTGTGTAATGGTATACGTTCCCGTGTTCTCTGTATATATATACTGATTTCCACTGGTTGTGCCGCCCATGTGTTCGATGGAGTATGTGATTTTGGGCTGTTCGCTGTAAACATCTAGGAATTCCAGGGTTCGGCCTTCCTGCTCGTGTTGTTGTTGAGGATTTGTGAGTACGGAATTATCCACTTCCAATTTGCCGACAACAGCTCCGGTATCCTCTTCTTCTTCTTCCTCCATAAGCGCTGTATTTGCAATATGTAAACCGCTTATTGTTTTGGCTTCTTCGACAGCCATAGCGCCACTTATAACACTTGAAGTCGTCATGGATGTTGGATTGGTATCAAAGCTTATGGCAGACTTGATGCCCAGTAAATTTATGGCCCCCAGAAACTCGGGTAGCAGGGCAGAGGTCAAACTAGTTTCCCCCATATAAATAAACGATAGCACATTCTCGAGCAGCTCCCCACGGATGTCCGGCAAAATGACAGTCGCTTCCTGACCGGCGGGTAAATCGACAAGCAGATTGCGCATTAAATCGCTGCAAGTGCTTAAAACGAAGAGATGGGCGCGTACGCT